GTTGCCTCGTGTGCCACATGCTACAACGTTTCGACCTCATGCATCACCTCGTGTTTGAAAGGGACTTCCGCAGTCAGGGCGCAACGCATGTTTTGTGCAGAGTGGGGCCTGCAAGGGACGTCGCTGCCAGGGCTCCCCGTTTTGCTGTCGCCTTCCCTCTCGCCTGCAAGTCGTACCGGGACCTGCCACACGTCCCTTCCGCTACATTGCCCCGTTCTCAAACAGTCACTGTTTCCTTCGCCGCTCTTACGAAGTCATTGTCATGCTCCCTGGTCTGTCACCGACGTATTTTCTTGACGCGTATGTTATCTCGTCCCTCGTGTTTGACGTGCTATTGACACTCGTTCACAGACAGCCCTTGAGCGATGGTCCGATCACGACGAGAGAAATTCAACAACTCCTTGTCTTGCACGAGTCGATCACCAACTTCGTGGCCAAAGGCTGGATACTGCGGGCACCGGACCCAGACGACGAGGACAAGACGACCATTGAAATAGTGTTTGTTTACACAGACCACGTATACCAGCTTAGTGCGTTTCGTGGCTGTTTTCTCCGCCGTTCGCTGCTCACAGCTCTTTTCAGGCCTGCAATTTACCGTCTGCCTCATCGACCCAGATGAAAGTGTTGATCGCGAGAAGTGTCGATGGGTCGTTCAATATCGTCCGCATGCTCTGCATCGCTTCTTTAAGGGAGAGCCCCAGACTCAGGATATGAGCCTGATGCACCCTTATGACCAGGACAAGTGGTGCGCCATGGGCCCTAATAACGAGGGTGCCACCCTGTTCGCGGATATTCAGCAAGTCGTTGCAAACATTGGATCGACTCTCCGTTTGCCACGGGCGCCTGGAATCAACTTCACCGTCGACATGGCTTCGGCGCGCCGATGTCAGGAGCCCGACGGAGAGCCATCCGCTCGCCCTAGTCGACGAACTCGATCACCGATCCGACGCCAACATCGATTGAACGATGCCATACAGCGACAGGACGATCTGCATAGGCGCGTGATGAGGGCGGAGCGTCTCGTCGGCGCAAACTTGGGCATGTGGTGGCCTCTGAATAGAGGCCTGTCGGAATCCGTCGCCTTGGAGACGTCTGTGTGGGCTCAGTTGCGATTCTTTGGCGTGTTTCTCATTGGCCGGGAACGTCTTGGACCGGATGGTGAATACAAGGCAATGGGGCGCAGAAGTCAAATCGAATGTTATTCGCTTTCCTTTCAAATTGGCACCTTGCGTTAGTGTTCCATAGTTTGCGTACTTTCAAGCCACCGTGAACTCACTGGACTCGTACAGTGTACAAATTCAAGATGGCCTTCCATGGACACCGGGTAGCCGCTCGCGGCCGCCGTCCTCGGGGTCTGGAAGACAGGCTTCACTATATGCCTGGGACGCTTCACGACGCTTTCGCGGAAGATCCCACATCTTCGACCGTCCCTTTTCCTACCAACTGGCCCCTCGCCGTCCCGCTGTGTCTCGAGAAGACAAAGGGGCTGCAGTTCCTTCTTGCGGAGATACGACGCACCTTGCATCCTATGTCCCGTCATGAAGAGCAGATGGCGACGGTGGAATTTTTGCCAGGATTGCCTCCAAATATCTTGGGATTCACGCCGGAGGATTACATGGACGTCAGACATACATATTGTGACGCCGATGGATTCGACCTCCAACCCGACTCATAGCTGACTCGCGCCCTCTCTGTATACTTTCAATAATTGATGGCTCGCGTGAGCGTCACTCCTGTGTGGTTCGTCAGATGTTTTGCACGAAAGTCGAAGGGTTGCTTGCCCGACCTTCCGTAGGGGAAGAACTACAGAGACGTCATCTGTCATTTCCCACCGCGCATAATGACCAAGAATGTCGCCAGGATCGATAATATCGGGTTGTTCCACCCAGGAGTTGGAAAGGGTGGTGGCCGGATAATCCTCGAATAAGCCGTAGATGTTCGCAATCGTGTCTGCAGCCGGGAGTTGGCGCTTCACTGCACATTTCCACGCGCCGCCTGGGTGCCAGAAGATGACCTGGATCGATCCATATTGCACCAAATCACCCATTCTGTACATCACCAGGCTATTGCCGGTGTGCGTCTCGGCTCGAGAATACACTATGCCGTTCACAGTGAGGTGCGCCTTGGTTGGCGCACTGTTGAAGGGCAAAGCGATGGCTATTTCCATCGGCAGTTCCATCTTTGGGCCCTGTGTCCCCTTGGAAGGCAGCGGCTCAAGACCTTCGTCATCGTTCAGGACACTCCTTTTTCGATATGCTTTATTGTACAGCCTCTTGCACTCCTTTATGGCTTGAGGACAGTCAGGCCTGGATAACCAATGACGGGTCTTGCACCCTAGAATGAACGCTTGAGTAATGGTCTGCTCCGCCTCCACTGTACTTGGTAGGTTAGATCACAATTCGCAGCATGATTTTCAACTAACGTTTAGTATGATTGTGGGGAAGGCGTTCAAGATGTCCTATCAGTCGTTCGAAGGAATAACACCACCAGAACGCCGCTGGCCCGAATAGTTGTAGGAAGTCCCACACGTGAAAAGCGGCGTGGCAATTCTGCTTGGCCTTTACGCCCGTCCAGATGCGTTGGATCGCCTCGTACCAATCGGCCAAGTGTTTGCGATAGGCGTCCGCCGTTCGTTCAGATTGCACGCGCTTGTTCATCAGAAAGAGCGCGGATACCAAGTGCATGGTGGTGACCAGGATGTCGGTGTAATTGTCTTGCGACTCAGGGTGTTGTTTGAGGTATGTCATCTTGAGAGCAGGGTTCGCATTCTTCGACCATAAACTGATGAGTGCGAAAGGGATGTGGAGGGTGTACAGATTTCGCCATTCCGAGCTTTTGATGGCGCCGACGCCCTTCTCCCCGAATCTCGCCGGCGGTTTCTGGAACCAGGAAGGGATGTCTGTTTGTGTTATGACCTGCCGGATCCGAGCTTTCACGTCGTCGTCGCTCGTAGGCGGCGGTCGGGGAGGCAGCGCCATTGACCTTGATGAACGCTATGTTTGTTCAGCAACATATCATCGCGTGTGGGCACTGCGTACCCACCCAAAATATCAATCCGTTTGCCAGAGACCGAGCAGTCACATCACGCCCCTCCGCGTAGTCGGCGGACCCTTCAATCCACGGTCGGTTTTTCATCGGCTTCGTCCCAACGTCATCGCATACAAAGCGCAAGGCCTTCACGGACCGCTTGGCGATGGCTTCTTGACATTCGTTAAGGAATCTTATACGACCTTCACGATCCGTGATCGCCGTGCCAGTTTGCAGATGCATTTGGATAGCGTGAATGTCCTTCAGCAGCCTCAAGTCCTTTGCGTTCCGGATGGCTGACGTTTCAGCTTCTAGTGCCTCTTCAGCTGGTTTGAAATCAAATCCCAAGTCCACGATCTTGGTTAGCCTTGGAGCGTCTTCGGTCAAATGCAAGATTTGCCCAGACATGAAATCCGCGAGGTTTTTTGCAGCGTGCATGGGGTCTATGACGACTTGGCGCACCGGGTTCCAATACGGCAGTCGATACATAATGCTATCGCGAGCACCGTTAGTTCGGAACGCTTTCTGCCGTCCGGATGCGGTGCTCTCTGTCCTCCACCTCGCCGCCCGGTCTTTCATCTCGTCCACAGTCAGGGGCCTCCACGAGCTGTAGTCGAATCTTCTGTGCGTGTCGCTCCCCACGCAGTCGCATATGCCGCCGCAACGGTGCGCTGCGTGATCTTGTACTCCAGCAACCTTGACGCGCGCCTTCAAATCCGCGACAGCATAGATCAATGCGAAGACAACGTTGCGTCCGTCGGGATAATGCGCCGTTCTGCTGAGGCGGATACCCCTTTCCCAGCCTCGAATGAAGATCTCGACGAGCAGGCGCAGATAGTTGTCGATCACATCCTGGCCGGGTTCCCCCTTGAATGGCGGAATCAACATTGATATGTGCATGTTGTCGTGCAGATTCTGCACCTCGATCGGCAGGGAGACGCATTTCAAGCTTATGATACCCCATGTTGCCGACTCGCCTCCGACGGTGTTTCTCTCGAGGTTGAACCCGTCGTAGAATAATGCAAACAGTACTCGGGCTTCTGACCCAGAGCGATGCAAGAATTGGGAATCGCCATCGGGCCCTTTGAACGTTCTTAGGAACTCTCCGTCGTACACATGCGACCACTCTTGCTTCCGCGGTATGGCGGCGGCGGCGCATGCTTCGTCCGCAAAGCGGTCGATTGCGGACTCGAAATCCGGTCTTGAGAACAGCATTGCGAGGTACTCTTCGAAGTTCCAGAATAGCATAGGCCTTTGGGGCTTGGTTCCGCCTCTTTTGCTGGGCTTCAGCAGAGGCTTGTCACATATATCAGCAGCTGGAAACCGACGGTGGGAACAATGAGAGGGATATGACTGCGACTCATCCGGCGCATATGTTTGTTGGCAGTGTGGGTCTGGGCAAATGGCTATCACCGTAGATGGCGACGTGAGATGAAATTGCTTTAGGACGGTCTCTATGGTCTTTGGGATATCGTCCAAGATGTTTTCTTGCGCCGTTTTGTCTCCTCCGACCTCTTCAAAGTTCGCCCTGAGTATGAGAGGGAGCAAGTTTAAGATGAGGTTGCAAAGCCTTAATCCGGCGTTCGCGAAGACATGTCCCGCAATGGCTGCGAAGAGAATAACTTGAACTACCGGCTTGCGGGAGTTCAACTCGTACTGGAACATGTGCTCTGGGTACTCACGGTGAGCTCATGGTCGATGAAATGAGCAGGAAGTGGTTCCTTACCGGTGTTGTATACCTCAAAGGGTGCAGCTGACGCTCCAGACAAGGCACTGGAAGAAGCCTCTGCAGTTCCATCGTACATGTCGACGTCTTCCCTGGAGACACGGTACGTGTTCAGATCTTGCACGAGCCTTTCGTACGTTTTCTCAGCTAGTATTCGTAAAGGTTTGACCCCCTTCCCCCCCATCGTTTTCATACGGTCAATCTTTTCCCGCATCCCGAACAGTTCTTGTCTGAGGTGGCGGAGCTCCGAAGGGTTCAAACTTGACCGAGCACGAAGACGGTCATTCATCGTTTCGAACTCTTTGGATATAGCAGCCCATCCTGCTTGGGCCCGTTTTTCCGCCGTCCCTTTCATTTGCTGCTTCACCCCAGTCGCCGTCATATTTGGAGCCTTTGGGGAATGGGGCTCCGGCGCCGCAGCTTTAGATAGCGATGCAGCCAGCTCTGCGAAGGACGGTCCCGGTCGCGCGTTCGTCAATGTCAGGTACTCCTCCCCTTCGTCCCCCAGAAGGCCATCTTGAACGGCCTGGGCAGCGATGGAATCGATCAAGGCATCGTCCTCAGCTTCGCGGTCAGGCGTTTGGGGGGGCGAGTCATCGTTCATGTCGAGCATGTTCGCCTGCAATCAACTTGTCAGGGGTAGCGCTAGCTACTTGAATCCCGAATTCGGCTATCTGAGCGGAACGCAGAATTGCTTTCGCTTTTGCTATTGGACGCGCGCTCGCAATGTTTTTGCCCCAACAAGGCAACTCGCCTACAGCTGCCCCACCGTGTGCAGCTTGATTAAACCTAGACGCTCCGTGGGAGCGTGGGAGTTCACTAGGTGGCACCATGCAGGGTTCACGAGGCACACCGGATCCTTCTTGCTTCTTGCCTCCACGATCTGTCAGTAGGTCAAACACACGCCCAACGATTCATCACAGGTAAGCGCTTCTAGATATGTCAATGCCAAGGGATTGGATGATAACCATCGAAACGTAGCCATGTCGGGCCCGCTGAACAGACACGAGTCGCGCAAACCCATCGGATACCCACCGTCGTGGCGTGCGTTAGCAGATCTGCCGTTCACGGTGGACGCCGCGCGCAAGGACCACGAGGCCGCCAACTCAGGGGATATCGCAAAGTATGCAATGATAGAAGCGCTGCAGGACATGCGCCGCTTCTACCCGGGTGAGCAGCAAACGGAGGCTCTGTGGTGGCTTTCGACGAGGGCCGGCAAACTCGGGAAGCTACCAGAAGATATGGCCGCTCTGGAGACGGAGCGAAGACGATGGCAAGATGTGAAAAAATTAGCAAAGCGTCACGTAGCCGATCTGCGTTTGATCCCCGACTCCGTGTTCTCCGCGACCGAGGAATGTCCTGGACCGTCAGAAGACCTGGTGAGGACCTATGCTGAGGCTCAAGCGCAAGTGCGTCGTGCCAGAAAGCGCGGCCGAAAGTTCCGTGGGCCGTCGGTACGTTCCAATGTGCATCAGCACTGGTATTTACTGATGCGTATACAGGATGAAGCCCCGCACAAGTCTCAGAAAGACGAGGGGGAGGACGAAGTAGCGCGTGCACCGGTGAGACGGTTCGTATCGCTTCACATCTCCAATTCTGAAGATTCAGCAGGATATCGCGAACTCTTCGCGCATCGAACGTGTGCGAACGCCGGAGGAGCCCACCGCTCCAAACGTGGTGGAGCATATGCCGGCGGATCGCAAACGTGTTGAGCCTCTGTTCCTTCCAGATGATGAGCAGGAGTCCGACACACCGGAACCGGAGGTCATCGTCATATCGGACGATGACGACGTAGAGGTTATCGACCCACCCCGCCTTGTTCCTTCACGCAGCGGCACCGGCGTGGGCGCCCTAGCGCAGACCCAGGATGCACTGCCGCTGGAGAAGAAGAAGGATACCTCTGTGAACCCGCGCGGTTCTCCGGCGCGGTCCATCATCGATCTGTGCGAGGAAGAGGACCATAACATGATCGTGGACGATTCTGCTCGCTCCACAAGCAATTATGCAGACCGCTCTAAGCCGGTCGAGGACTCCTTGAGCCAACACCAGGGCGCTCCTGCCGAGCGGCTGACCAGCCCTGGTGATCCCGACGTCGAGATGGCCGCCCCCGAGACGGAACAAGCAGAGGACCTGGAGCCCGATGCCCAGTCAGAGCCGGCGCTATCTCCGCTCCAGCTGGCGAGGCAGCGTCAGTTTGCTTTATTGCAGGAGCTGGCTAGCCTCAAACCATCAAAGGATTACCCATTGCCTGATCCCATCTTTCCGCCCCCCGAACGACCCTACCTCTTTGTGGTAGAGGAGGATTGTTACTACTTCCCGTTCAAGCCAGGCGTCCGGTCGAAGTCCGTTGAATGGAGACAGAAACTGCTGCAGACGGTGGACGTGCGATGCAAAATCAAGAGCGAGGCTGCCGATCTCTTCGACGCCCACACGTATAACACGGACACGTACCTTGGCATTTTCATGGACGTTCCTATATATGAGGTCCTCGTCTTCATCAACGCGGTGATGCCCCTTTCGGATGACGAGGGTGGTCCCCCCACCAGTCCTCGGAACCCACCTTACGCCCAGCTCCAACTCTTAATATTATACTATTTCCTTTTCCCGGACCTCTTCGAGAGATTCAAGGCCGGGCTGATGGCAAGGGAAGAGCGCAGAAGACCCAAGCCGGCGAGGGGGCCGATACGTCAGCGACCCCAACGCGAGCTGCCCGCCCGCGTCAACCCATATATGTGGACTTGGTTCCATATCGACGGCGCCACGGAGACCACTTATCATCTCATCATGCAGGGAGTGACCGGGGACGAACTCCGTCGATTGTCCGGTGCCGCGCGAGTGATCGTGCTGCTTGCAATGCGGGGTCACCTGGAGTTCCACAACGTCGACAATGCTGGCCTAAAAGGGTTGTGCCTTCTGCTATGTAGGGACAAACCTTTCGACGCGGACAACTACGAGGATTGGAGGATGTACGGTTTCTGGCTCCTTCGGAAGGTTGGGTTCTCAGCTGGCTGTGCCGTTGATCCTCCGCAGCCACAGGTCTAGGGCTCGAGATTGCCGCCCGGAGAGAATAGATAGTGCACATTTCATATGTATCTTACGCTGCGCCTAGGACATCCAAATCATATGCTACCGACCTCTATTTGCCCATGAACACCACCGTATCAGGGAAAGAGTGGTTTCCGGCTTCTCGCAGGTTTGGCCCCTCGGCCGTGTGAGTGCGAGTCAAGATGGTACCTGCGAGCCCGCTGGCGGAAGCCTGATCGTGAGAGGACGCCTATGGACAGGCTGTTATCTAAGTCTGCCTTGACTTCAGGTCTGATTGTCAGATCCTCTAGATCTTCCACGATGAGGGTTCCCAGCGACAAGGAGAAATATCGCGAACACAACAACGATTCCAGCGAGGATGAGGACGATGAAGGTCACATCGAGGACGAGGACGAGGAACTTTGGTCCCAATGCGAGCCGCTGCCCGATTGGGTTCTGGATAGCTCAATAAATCTGACCGCACTCGTCCTCGCGGGCAAAGTGGTGGTCTCCTCTCCACCTCCAAAACATCCCCGAGACGACTCTTCTTCGATGTCCCCTCGAGCGTCCAGATCCGAGCACGCAGTCTCTCGTACCCGAGAGAGGGACAAGACAGACCCGCCTCCGCCGTACGACGTTGGTTCGTCGGGCACGCCCTCAGTAAACCACCTGTCAGCGCCTATGCCTGCCGAAGCTCCTCAAGCCATCGTGACTACAAATCCACCGCCAACGCGGGCAGCCACTTCTAAGGTACAGGAAAGAAGCGCTTGGCGAGGAGGGAACCCCCCTGGTCGTCCGTCGGACCCTGGCCCTTCGCTTGGCTCCAACGCATCCCAAGGCGAGCGAGCAAGGGGATATGTAGTCGCTTGGAGTGATCCCGGTTCTGCTGCGCCCACCCGCGCACTTGTCAAAGATTGGTGCGCCGATGACTCTGACTTGCTCGATCGATTCCTTAATCGGTCTCGTCTCAGGTCATCCGCAGGGGCGCTTCACTCGTCCACCCCCGGCAGCACTGTCCGCCGGGTCCATCGCGGACGTCGCCGTCGTTATGCCTACTACGTCGTTTACCGCGGTCGCGATGTCGGTGTCGTCAACTCTTGGTGCGCGTTCCCCCTCCTTCAGCTTTCCAGCCTGACCCATCTTTGATAGGGAGGCATGTTATCGTATGGTGGAGAACGTAAGTCGCGCTCGCTATAAAGGTTTTGATAGCCTCCGGGAAGCGCAAGAGGACTGGAACAGGGCATTTGGTAGCTTTGTTGAGGGGCCCGACGGCCAACTGTTCCCGGAGGTGGAGTTGGTATGAAGCGAGAGTGTTCTTTTACCGTCAATGCAACGAGCCTTCGGAAGCTACGGTCGTTAATATGTATTAAAATTGCAATGCAGCAGTGCACTCGCTGCAAGTGTCCCTCAGTTAAACATTTGTCCACACGGTATCTGACGCGGTCTCTGAAGGACGTGCGTGGCATACCCATAAACTGCCTCAACACTCAGAGCGGACGGTGGGATCACGGCTGGTTCAACACGGGGCACACCGGCTGGCCTCGATAGACTGTATCTGCAAATGGAAATACATGTTGGCCTGCTACGGCCACGGGAGAAGCTAGACTAACTGCAGATACATTCTGGTACGCCATGAAAACACAACCTTGAAACCTCAGCTCAATCCGACAAATACAGGCAAAGGACATGGGTAGAATACAAGGCAGACATACATGTGCGCACGCAGCTTCTATGTTTGACTGGAACCAAGCGAAGAATCCGGAGGAGATACAAGATGCCCACCTCGAATCCACGTTACATCATCGCGGAAGCTATCGATTAGTCTCGCCCGAGCCTCCGCATCAGAGATGCTATGTCCTCCGTGTTGGTGGAGACATCTATTGAAATCCGGACTGTCTTCAGCCTGTCGAGGGTACCCTCTCTCGTTGGCTACAGCCAGAAGCGCATCCTTCAAGGCGCTTATGAGCCACCGACAGGCAATATTTTCCGGTATACAGAGCTCGCGCCCGACAGGGCCTAGTTCACCAAGAGGGACATCGTCCAAGTTCTCCCCGTCATTGCGGTACGCAACGAGTGGCGCGTAATGCCACATGGGCTCAGGCGACACATATTGGCCCTCTGAGCCGGGCTCTATCGATGGAAGGGAACGTCCGTGGAGGCATATGCGGAAAAGAACATCTGCCAGGATGGTCAAACACTGCCCTAAGAAGCAGGCGCAGGGACGAACCAAAACCAAACCGCCGATCCGTCCACTTCAATTCCCACTGCACCACCGCATGGCGCCTCCTCACAGCCTGCCAGACCGGGTCTTTGGGACATATAAGCGTACGGGACGTCGCCTTCACGAACCCGAGCATGTCGACGAAGCGGATGAGCATCGGTCCATGTTCATGCTCCTTGCCTGGAGCATAATAACGAAACTCTAATGACGGACTGACACAGATGTTATCGTCAGACGAGGAAAGGTTAAATGTGCAATCGCGACTTTACATTTGATCGGCGACATCGCCTCTACCCTTTCGCAGTTTGCGGATGACTTTACTCCGACGATCTTCGAGTACTTTGACCGGATCTTCTTTGCGCAGACTCCGTCGCGTGGCCTTTGAGTGGACTTTGCCCGACCCTGACGGCGCCAGGGAAGGGCCATCGACTGCCGCCTGCGGAGGTTGGAGACCGTGGACGTCGTCCAGACGATGAGGACAAATCAACACATCGGAGAAGTACCTCTCGATGGGATTAGCGGTCTTGGGGAAACCCAGGCGGGTACCGAGAGCGTGCACGACTTCCCCCAGGTCGTTCAGCAAGGCACGAAGACGTGGGCAATCGACGCAGATCTCTCCTCCAAAAGGGCCCAACTCGCGCAGATCGAGGGTACGACGAGCAGGCCAGCCACCAACGCCAGGAGGTCCAGACAGGGCGCGAGGGATGTAATGTGCTGCGAGAAAAGGTTCCCCATCCGAACCTTTACCGCAATGGAAGCGTATCGTCATGAGCATCTCTATTGCGAGTGTGTCAGTGGGCACTTTCCACGCTTCGGGATACGACAGAACGCACCGATGTCGAACGCGATACACACATAGACGACGTGAAGCTCAGACACGATCTCGGAGGGATTTACTTCATCTATGCGTGTTCGGTACCAAGCTTTGATTTGGAAAGACGACAACATCGAGATGATATGTGCGAGCTCAAACTGATCCTTGCTGATCTGCCGCGCGGCGAGAGCGGTATCGATAACATTTGGACTACAAGCACTTGGGTCAACGCGTGGACATCCAGAAGCCGCAACGGCAAAGGAAAAACCTTTCGCGGCTGAAACGGTCTTGGAGAATCTCGGGTACGATGCGAGTGGCACCAATGAACTTTGTATCCATGACGACGAGGTGGGGGGATCTAGCTCTTCCGGACCACTTCCCTGGCACAGAGATTCTTATATCATGGGCTCTCCCCCATACGCGTGGCCACCACATGTTTGCCACGAGAACGCGAATCCACGGTCATAACAGGCAACTATGGCTGGTATACATCGCATGATGACCCTGTCAAATGTTGAAACCATAATACGCAGGGGCTACTGAGATATAAGAGGTGACCATTCGACGGGGTTGACGAAGTAATGATGAAGGGGACATATAGTGTTGATCCTCCTCTGTGTGTAGTGCAATAATTTTGCTACGAGTTGCCCCTGCAGTCTAATGCTAGACAGATGGGGAGACAATCAACTGCTTGTCGAAGACCACGAACAATGTAATGTGTCCGCACAATCAAAACAAAGTTGCGGACAATGGGGGTAATACGGATATAAATCGAACCCACCACCCGGAGAGCCTTCTCATCACCCGAACTACACATGAACACCCGCAGGTCACAATCTCACCCCAACTTCGCGCAAGACGCGGGCGATCCCGTCTTACCCCACTTGCTTCGTACTCCCACTCGTGCTTCTGCGGACCCGCTCAGGCCCGACGAACCCGTGCCCGGCAGTACCCACATTGGACCCACGCCCACGGATATTGCTACCGAGGCTGTCCCCGAGCCGGATCCGATTGCCGACGTCAACGTCGAGAACGAGTCTCCACCCTCGGCACCTCGTAAGCTTACGCTGGCAATGTGCCGGACGCCTTCGTTCTCACGTCAATTTCCTGTGGCAGTCGAAGGATATCTCCAAGCCAGGGTGGTAGCACGACGTAGATGGAAGCTTGCCAGAAACGAGGGAAAGAATATCCCGCGCATCGAAATCGGGAGCACCTTGAAACTCCAGGACGGCATTGCAAGACGCGTCACCACCGGGGAGGTCATGAGGATCGTAGGGGTCAGCAGAAAGTTCGTCGTGTTCGAGATTGACAGTCCTATGGTGGAGTATGGTCACCCGGACGTCCCTGCCCCAACGGAGCCGGTGTGCCAGTGCATCGTTCCGAAGGAGTGGGCCACAGTGCCCCGTTGGGCCAAGTCCATGACCGGTGTTATGGCAATGAGACTGTTTCACGGGATGGGAAGGCCGGCGCAGTGGGAGGGGAAGATGCTGGACGAGCGATATTCGAAGTTTGAGGAGGATTGGCACCAGGACAAATCGAAGACTGAGGATGCAAAAGTGCGCAGATGCGCGACTTAATTCCTTGTTCCTGCTCTGAGAACTGCAGTTCGACGAGGGTCCCCGATATAAATCTGTATGCATTACAGTTCTACTCAACGAACGTGAAGCGAGGCCATTTCTCATCTGATTTCCCTAGCTTGGCACGAACCACGCTCTTCCTGCCAACGGAAAGGCTCTCAAACCAATCGTCTGAGTAATAGGAGCGCGGCAAGCCAGGGACTGCTGGTCTCTTGCTCAACTTGCGTTCCTCGAGAGGAGGCCTTTCGCGTGGCGCTTGAGCTCTGCCTTGGCTCCTTTTCGGTTGCTCCAGCATCGCGTGCATTTTCTCCAGCGCCCCCAATTCAGTCTCGATGTCTCTGCGCCACGGATTGCACTTGACTGTGAACACCTTTGCTTGTATCGGGTCGGAATCCCTTCCCCCCTGGTCGCTATCGGCATCCGAGTCCTCGCCTCCACTGTCCTCCGAGCTCATCCCCTGTGGACCGTACAAGTCGATCATTCGTCGGATGAACCGCCAGCTTTCCACGTCAGGAGCGTCTTTGCGAGCTTCGACTATCTGATCAGCGGCCTTCAACCTTCTTTCATATTTCTGTTTCCTTGTCAGCACTGCGCGATGACTGACCAATGGATTACATACCGCCTTACGCAGGTTGTAATGCCTGCGCGCTTTAGCTTCCCTTGACCTCTCATCCGCTATACGTTTCACGGCTTCCTCCACCGTCTCCTGCTTTCCAGTTTCGGGGTCCGTACGAAGTCTCCGCTTGCGCCAGATAGTTTGAAGGGTTCCAAGCCGTGTCCACGCAATGTCCGCCCAGTACTCGTTGCTCCGAATATCTTCAGGCGGGGCCCCTTCGTAGTGGAAGAAGTCACGGGTTTTGTTAACCATCAGCTCAAGCCATCGCCTATTCCACAACGAGTCGAGCGTGGCGAGATCCGGAACCAGTCGCTCTTCGGTGGGACCGCCTTCATGACCATCGCTGTCCATGAAGATGCGCATGTCTTCTTCAGAAATGTTTTGAATTCCCACTATGGCGAGGTCTTCTTTGATATTGAAGACCTTGTGAACGGCGTGTTTGACATAATGCTGAAGAGGCGGCTATCAGAACAACTCTCGAAACACGATACCATATTTCCTGACCGTATGACGCCGTCTTGCTTCTTTGGGCACGGCAGCCTTCTCATGCTCGAGCTTCTGCGTCAGGGTTCTCATATCCTCGTCATCTTCGTCTTCACCCAGACTTCCGTCTTCCTCGCTATCCTCGCGCTCGATGGATTTCGAGCGGTGCGGTCGGTCAGACAGGCTGATAGAAGGCGCCCTGCTGGGTGCAGACGAGCCCCTCCGTGAAGCACTCCGCGTCGGAGTACTGCGACGAACTTTCTTTTTTTCCTTCGCCGATGGTGGAGTCGGCTGCACGGTGGGCTTGTTCAGGATTCAAGGCGTAAAGCATAACGAGAGCTACTCACCAGCGACGCAAACAACTGAGTCTTTGGCAAGATCCGACTTGGTTTGATGGAGACCATCCTGATCACGGTCTGAGCGTCGTCGCGGCTCAATTCACTGGCTGGGGAAAATGTCCTTGCTCGAGGGGGTGTCCTTGGTATGTTAAGTTGGAGGTCGACTGGAGTCCTCGGAACAGCAGGAGGGGCCTCTGAACCGTCCAAGGGCGGACCAAAAACTGGAGCGACGGGAGTCGTCGTCGTGAATTTTGCGGCAACGACATTTGGGCCTGCCGAGGCGCTTGAGGACGGGATATCATGCGGAAGAACAATGTTTTGCGGGCTTCCAAGAGGCGTCGTTGATGTCATCTCCTCGCCAATAGGTGATAAGACCGGCTTGAACAAGGGATCGGACTCTCTTCCCTTGCCCTTACCACCGCCCAAAGAGACATTTGCAGCTGGAAGGCCTGCCGCGGCATCCTTCAGGAACTCCTGAAATGACGATGTCAGTATGAACCACACCGTGACATCGAATGACTAACGACGAGCCCGTCAAGAACAAGCGCCATAGGCTGACAGTTTGCGATCGTTTCCATCTCTTCGGACCGATTTCGTCCTCCGGGAAGATCGACCACCGCAACCGTTTCGTCGTCTATATCAGGTGGGGAAGGGCTTCGGCCAACGAGCGCCTCCTTGGTCCGCATGACCATATCACGTATTTGCGCTATCGAAGCCATAAGTTCCTCCCTCTCAATGTACCGATCGTCCTCAATCGCCATGTCTTTCAGCTCCTGCTCCGCCATTCGCGCTTCGTTCTTCGCCTCCTTCAAGTCCTCCTTTGCCTTCTTAAGAGCCTTTTCTGCTGCTGCCAGCTCCGCGCGAGCCGCGTTCAGCGCCTCCTTCGCCACTCGCGCCTCTTCCATCATGTCATTTCGTTCCTACAGGACAGGTTCAAGTGTTGCATGGCAAGGATCCCTGCCACTTGCTCACCTTCTGCGCTTGCGCGCGTTCGTCTTCAGCTTTCATTAATTTTTCGACGTATCTGTCACGCTCGCGCTGTGTAGCTTCAAATAGTTTGGTAACACGCTGTAAGCTCTGACCATTCGGTGTGAGGATCGTGGAAAGATCGTCGGAATCGTGCAACGCACTTCGTGCAGTTCTCCATTCCGAACTAACGTCTCCTGCACTTCCCGACTACGCTCTTTCATGTCTTGTGTGTCATCGACCAACGCCAGCAAGCGTCCCTTGATTTCGAGCAATGCCTCCTGGTTGGTGCGTCGCGAATTGTCCAAAGCATCGAGTAGCCGCGAACTACTGCTCGGCGGCAAGTTCACGTCATCGGGACCACCTCTGTCGCGTGTCTCGATTGTTTGCGAACCATCGGACATTACAGGCCTGCTCGTGGTGGTCGGCACGGGATCGTCCTCGGGATCGTCCTGCGTACAGCGTGAGGAACAGAACATAACGAGGCCAATTCACTTTACCAAGTCCATCAAGCTGCTGTTTCCGAGGAATGCATCCACTTCACGAACATCGTCCAGGGCACCACGGGCCTCTGCAAGCTGCTCGCGCAACTCGTTAAGCGTGGCTTCGTGGCTAGCAACAAGCTGTTTGGTTTCGTCTTCGTGCGCTGCATGGATATTGGCTACGCTCAATGCACATTGATCGGATAAGTTCTTCATCTCAGTGCGCAACCAGGTGCACTCCTCCTCCAGGTCGTTTTGCAGTTGGGCGCACTCGTTCATCTTCTTCTGCAATCGGTTTTGCTCCTCCTCCATATCTGTCCGTGATTGGGTACGCTCGTTCTCCATCTCCCCTTGCAATCGAGCGCGCTCCTCCTCCATCTGGGTCCGTAATTGGATACGCTCTTTCTCTATATCTGCTCGCAATTGGTCACGTTCTGCTGTCGCATCGGCCAACAGCTGGTTCCGTTCGATGTCCGAGTCGTCGCTGCGTCTCTGGAGGATAGCAATCTGCGATAACAATTCTGCATTGGCCGCACGGTATTCTTCTTCCAGTTTCTTTTCTTTCGTCACGTGCTCATCCTCCACCTTCGAAAGCTCCTCGGCGTGCCGAGCTATGAGTTCATTTATGCGATTCTGGGCTTCCTGCTCCGCACGTTGAACATTGTGGAATTGAGCTGATAAGGCTTCATGTTCAGCTATATCATACAATCAGGGACACAAAGTTTAATGCGGTACTGCAAGACGCACATCGGAGTTCCGCGAGCTGATCTTTGTGCTGTTGAACTTTCGATCGCGCAGTCTCATCCCCTCGTTCAAGAGAATCTAAGAATACTTTAAACACTGCTGCCGATCTTCACAAACGATGGCAGTGCTCACTTTTGAGACGGTTATACTCGGCCGCGCTGACTTCGAGTTCCCTTTTGAGTTCACCGACTTTCTGTGACTCCTTCTCTAAGGCTTCTTTCAGGCTAGCCAATTCACGGGACCCTTCCGCTTCCCAACGACCTAGATTTGCCTGTAGCTCGCTGAACTGCTGGTCCAAGCCAGCGAGTTTTTCCTCGGCCGCATCTCGTTCGTGACGCGCAGCCATCACCTGTCTTCGCAGGTCGTCGCGTTCCTGACATACACCGTCAACTTCGATGCAGGAGCCATGACCTGTATACGCTTACCGAGACCACGATATCAGCGTCGGCCTGGATTCGCTGCAGCTGTGTCGAAACTCCATTAAGTTGCGAGCGTAAACTCGCGATTTCCTGCATCAAGCAATGAACGGAGGGAAACATCCACAGAGCAAAGCTCTTACCCTATTTGCTTTCACCATCTCTTCCTGTGCGGAAAATGCGACATTCTGATTCTCGTTTGCGGCTTGCGACTGTTCTTCTACTTGTTGTCGCAATGATTGTTGCTCTGACTCTGCGGCGTGCAACTGATCCTTTGTGGGAGGGAAGGGGGGTCAGTTCTCATGACGACGATCACAACTACACAAACGCACTCGCAGTCGTTGACATTCAGTTTCCAGGATGCTCATCCGCTCTGACTGCTTCGAAGATTGTGCTTTGAGAGTGGCCATCTCCGCTGTAGCGTTCTCGACAGCCCTGTCCCCACTCTAGGCCAACAACGTTGCGAGGTTAGCACCCTCAACTGTCAATAATGCGACGACCGTCACACCTGCTGCAGCATACGCGACCTCTCCTCCGCCTTACGATACTCGTCTTCCAACCGCTGATATCGTTCCCGCAACGCAACCAACTCCTCCTGAAGGCGTTCCTTAGCCCGGCGATCACGGCGAATGTTTTCCGGAGCAGGCTCTTCCTCAGTCATCTCACGTCTGAGGCCCCGTACACCTGCCACAGGGGTAGGCGGCGTATCTTCCCCGTCTTCATCCATGGCAACAAAAGACGTCGAAGCAGAGGGTGTGGAGTCGATGCTGAATACAGGTAATGGCGACACCCTTGCGGACACACGCGAGGGACGTTTTTCTTGCACGGCGACGAGCTGCAGTTTGAGCTGGGTGTTTGTCCCCATAGCGGCTGCAATTTCTCCTTCCAATTTCTCACACTAGGGGCCAACATCACAAACCAAACCTCGCGCCAGATACACAACACGTACCTTGGTCGACAAGGACTCGCGATCTCTGGCAAGTTGGTCTAACTCGGCCGTGCGGAGCGCAAGATTCGCCTGCGTTTCTTCGAAGTTCCGCTGAGTGACAGCAAGTTGTCGGCGAGTATCAGAGAGCTGCTTTTCTTGCTGCATTACGCACGTCGAGAAGAATCAGCGTCCACCCAAGCACGGAATAAGGCCGTGTTCACCGTCACAAGGCGGCCAGTCACCACATCCATCGCATCTCTTTCTTTCGGATCACTAATTTTAACCATCGTTTGACGAAGCGATTCAATCTGTTCCCTTAGTCCCTGGAGAATTATACAATTCAGCAAACATCACCGCGCGGCGGAAGCGAGCTGGACAAACCTCCACCACTTCTTCGACGTCCACAGGCAGAGGTTCGCGCTGTCCGAGGTCGTCATCTTGCCTACGTCGTTTTGCCACGGCAACATTCGACGGCACATGCCCGTCAGACATCGCGATATCTCGAGGGGGTCGACGAGGCGGGCAAGCGGGAACCTTTGATCGGGAACATGGCTACCTTCATGTGGGATTCCCGCAGGCATCAAATCTAAACTCCGCTACACGTTCTAGGAACGGTGTCGACTACCCCGCCGTGCTCCCTCCTCGTGCTGATCCACGAGCTTCAGACACACGACTTTGTCCAGAAATCGATATAATGTAGCGTGTGCAAAGGGGACCCACGGACCCTCGGTTCCTTCCCCAACACTGAGATCAACCATGGGACGACACCGCATAGCGATTCTTCCCTCTAACCAGGTTGGTCGGCATTATGTTGGAATGGAAGACCGTCTGACATACATGGTAGACCAAAGAATTACGATTGCGCGGCCGCTTGTATGCCGCTAGCGAAATGAGGCCCAGAGGAGTTCCAATCCTCGTACGGCAACGAGGGCAAGACTCATTACGACGCTATCCCATGCCCGAGACAGCCTTGGACTCCGCGAGAATCCAACCCTACGTCCACGACGTGGTGATTCACTTCCGTTATAGGGGCCAGCAGCGTCGTTTCTTGCTATTTTTCAACCGGCATAAACGGCTACCCATCAACCTCGCCCTGCCGCGCGGTTGCCGCCGAGGATATAAGGGCGATGTTATCGTAATGCGCCTATCGAACCAGAGCGACCGCGCGCCTGTCAACATGCGAAGTGGAGACGGAACAGTCGCAGACGAAGCCGTCCGCAGGTATGTCCCATCCGCGGTAGGAACGTTATGCCGCGCATTGATGGCCGACGACCAGATTTGTGGGCTATCGACGGATGCATCCTCATCTCCGTCGATTCTCGGAGGAGTTATGGCTATGACAGGAACCCGTTCCGGTGATGTGCGAAATAGATAGGAATAAGACATAGTTTACACATCCGACTACTTTGCTCTCCCCTTCCCTTTGACGCGTGAAGTTCCAGGAGAGATTGGAGTCCCATGTTCACCCTGATCCTGCGACCGCCCTGTGCTACGTGTCTCGGCGCTCTCACCACGACGATTCGCTCTACGACTCGCCGAACTACCTTCGGGTTTCTCACGTCTTTCCGCGTCGCGGTGCTCCGAAGGATCTTCCGGTGCCCACTGCCGCAGGCAACTCTGCGCCAGGGCCTCAAACTGACGGAAAATGCGAGCGGCGCGGGTGGTACGGGACGCCAGCTTGGTGTGCCAAACGGAGGTTTTGAGGGGCTGTCGCTGGCCCGCGCGGCATGCCTCGACGTGGGCACGGAACCAATCTTCATCCGCTTGAGTCCACACTCCGTTCAGCCAATACTTGTTTGCGCGGGGAAACCAAGATAACAACGTTTCTTGGAAGCTTTTGCCGCGAGCTGGAATGAGCCTGTGAGAAACCAAGAATTGCATTCGCCACCGATCCTTGTAACGCACCTTCCAAGACGACGTACGTCCCACATAACAACTGCATCTCTTCCGGAGACAGTATATCATCGTAAAAGCGTCCAGCGCGACTATCCTTCGCGAACGCCCCCCACCCCGACCGGTCTTGGGACGGACCTTGAGCAGCATCTCGGAGCAGCTCAGGAGGACCGTACTCCACGGCGATGCGCCAAACGACGCCTCCTGTAAGCGCAGCCGCCCTAGCGCGCGGTGTCGTCAAAAACCGACTGACAGTATGTTCCCATGCCACGAAGTCTTTCTTTGTGGCTTTGCCAATCCACGCGTGAGTGCGCACCGGGAGACTGTAGCGCGTCGCGCGTCGCTTGATGGTTCCCGAGAAGCTGCGTTCAGCCGTCCAGAAGTGGACGCCGTTGTGGAGGAAGTGTTCTGCCAGCGACTGCAGAGGGTCCGGCTTTTGCGAAAGTACGTCCCACCTCAGGAAACGGACAGCTTGCATCGCATTGAGTGCTTCATCCACGACGATGCACGAGACTCCTGTCCTCGCAGTCGAAAGGCTGAATAGATAGCCCATGCAATTGTTCGGAGGGAGGCTCTTCCCCTGGCTGACTCCGGCGCTGTCCTCGAACTCGCGAGTGAAGGACAGCTGGCGTCGAGTTAGCTGCACTCCCCCCAGTGCACCGCGATCAACCTGCGAGGGCCAATCTTGAACATCTCGGGGGATTCCGTCCACCGAAGCATGAAGCTCGACGTGGCGCGTGAAGTCACGGAGAGCGGCAACCTGATCGAAACCTTCCGACACCCGCAACAGGCCGGTAGCATCATCAGAACCGGAAACGCTGCCATAAATTCGAAGGAGCGCTGGCGCGTCATAGGGAACCATGTCCAGGCCCTTCTCGTTCTTCCAATGGATTTGCGTCCAATAATGGATAGGTCCCGCGCGCCAGCCATATCGTGCTTGCAATCGACCGAGAAGCCCGTGGAGAGACATCGACAGAGACAGCACATCTCGGAAGGGCCCGTACTGCACGTCAGTGATTCGGTCGTAAAACGCATCGCGGGCAGAATCGAGCCGTTGTATATCTGTGACATCAAAGCCGAACCTGTTGTCGCGGTCGAGAGCCTCGGAAGGATCCTGCACACCTCCGAAGTCCATGGGGCCTTCTTCAACAAAGTCGTCCTGCCGTTCTGATGACGGCAGGTTCTGGCGCAGGGGGAGACCGGTGTTCAAGACCATCCGCGACGCGCCCCACCCTCCGTAAACGTCGCATTCCGCACGATGGCAATCGATCGACAAGTGGTGCCACTTGTAAGCCCGGAGAACTGTCATCGCATATGCAGGTAGGATACGATGGCGAACCAGATAATCGCCATCTGTCATCCATAGGAACACGGTGAAAACCGTGCCCCCGACGTCCACATCTTCTTGATCCAGAGAAGAGGATGTAATCCCCACCAGGTGATCTTCACGGACACGCTCCCTGAAAAACTGTTCCATGGAGCGGATGCCAAAGACACCTCCCTCATCCTCTATGCGGAGCTCTGGTCGCACGCGAGGCAGCCACAATGTACAGTCACGCTTTGTGGCTGCGAACCGGTCGATATCCTCCTGCGTGGGCGCATCGTACCCGAGAGTAGCGCGCAGCGATCTGTATACCTCGGGACGAGCGGCGGCGGGCCACCTAACCTGGAAAGGGATATTCCAGGCCCGCAAGACGGCAGCCAGAGTTGTTGAGTACGTCTCCGTGGACCCCCAGATCATGGATGATCCAGCGCGTGGGACACCGGCCACGTCGAAAACCTCTGAAGTGAACAGGTGGTCGATCCATACCGCCGTGAGCTCAGAAGTCAGGAGCAGATGATGTTTGATGTCCGTGACGCTGAGCGTGCGTTTGAGAAACGCCAGCAAGTAAGTGACTTCTGCTATCATTGGCCAAAACGCGCGCATGGCTTCCTGAACACCGCGTTCGGCGGCTCCTCGAGACCACCACCTCCTCTTCAGGTTGAATTCTGTCGGCCGAGGGAGCGGAACATAGTCCACGCTGACGACGCGAGCTTTGCTGGCCTGAGGATGGCCAGCCAGCGACATTTCGGTCTTGACAAGTGCGTCCGCGATGTACCACCACTCCGTCAGACGGTCGTTGTCCGCGTAGTAGAATTTCCTATTGTCTTCCCATCGCTCTACGATGGGCATGCCGGAGATCGGTGCGAAACAGGGATGGAGGTCCAACACCTGCGGGCCACGGTGCATGAATGCCAAGCCCACGGGATGGCGCGGATTGTAGGGGATCACCCCATGAAACGAATCCCTGCGTATTATGCCCTGATTATCCACGACATCCCGTAGCTCTGGCTGAAAAACGATTCCGGTGCGCCTGCGATTATATTCTTCGCGCGCGAGACCGGCTTCATCACTGAAGGGATCAAGCCCCAAAGAGCGAGTGCCGAATTCGCTGATGGCGACGGAGTTTTCGAAGGGCGGATTGAAATATCCAGCGAATCGCACGTCGGACACATGACTCGAGCGATCCTGCTCCCAGTCGGGCGGTGTTTCATCCCAGTCGGGGTACACCACTGACCACTGGCGAGACGGAGGAGCCACCGGTACGAAGTTGCGCTCGCCGGCATCGCGAGGAATAAAGGCTGTTCCCGTTCTTGTCTGCCCTGTTTCCTCGTCTTCGAAACCGATTCGGATGGGAACGTCGACGGTGTCGTCGTTGTCCCATGTATCAATGGGCTCCATTATACTGCGTAACCGAGCCTATATCCAGCGGATTGAGACGTAAGGCCGACCAAAACTGCAAAACGCTCACCAGAGCCAGTTCAATATTTGATATCGACGGTCGAGGAGTCGCAGTGGAATGCGCTGGGGAGGCGGCTCCCGATGGCCGTGAAGTGGCAGATACCGCCGAACGCGAGGATGATGCCATAACGAAAGAACTATCTATGGCTGGACAATTGAGGTCACGGTTACGCTACAAGATATTATTGCTCACACGATGGTGGTATAGGGAGAAGTGGGACGACCGACCCTAACTGGGTGGTCCCTTTTATTGGCTGGCTTGCTGCATATTACGTCGCTGATTCTCCGAACCTTATGACGTTCGATTAAGAACTTCCAGACGGGACACTCGCAGTGATTGCCCTATTACTTAGGATTTTTCCCTTCCAGTGGATGGGAGCGTTGCCTGCAATCGCCCCTGAAGTGGAACCCCCTGATATGTAGCACAATAAATATTTTACTACACGAGTTTACCCCGCCTCCCAACGAAAGACCGTCGCTGCAACGACACAGCCGATATGGTTAGCTGCGAAAGCTGACATCAAACTCGAGCTTACATCGGAAGGCGACGATTATTTGGGGTTACCAGGCCCTTACCGCCTGAGACAGTCATCAAGCCAGGTCAACGCCTGTCTCCCTGCGGGCGGCTCTCGAGCATCCAAGCCAAAGGGGAGTCTCCCGCCCGAAACGAACGTGTGTGCGACAGACGCGAGACGATTCGTTCCACGCCGATGCGGTGCCCTGTTGGATAACTCTCGTGAGCTCGGTCTTGGGCGAGGGCTCCTATACGTACCTACAATCGCTATCCGACCATGGCTTGATCGCTCTCACGTATTCTGCAACCAACTCAGTCCTACGGTTTGTGGAGCTTCACATTTTACTCACCTGAAGCTCCCCATCCTCACTGCTTTCTTGGGCGAAGACAATTCTCGCCCTGAGGCTGATCTATTTCACGCCCCTGCGAGCCCGTTACTCTTCGCATATATAATACTACGCCCGCTTTGCCCAACACCATAGTGATTAGCTGCGAAGAAGCCGCCCCGGAGGTCGAGTCTGATCCAGACAACGCTTGCTGCCTCCTGGAAACTACTTTACGAAAAGCCTCCGTCAAAGACGCGCTCTCCGTACGATGACGGTATGCGCGCCTGGGACGCAAGGTGTTACGAGGGCATCTACAGATGCGTACTCTGTATCGCACTATGTTAGCTTGTGCCAAACGCTGAGAACTCCTCATTACTCACCCGAAGTGTTGCCTTCGCCACGCTCCGTCCTATCCGAACGTTCAAACACTTGAGCTTCACCTGTTCCCCGAGCGCAAACGCGGCGTCGTAAGCACAAAGCACTAAGGCAAACGCGGGACCTTGCTCACCGAGATCCGCGTCAAAATAACGCCAAGTCCGTGGTCCGAAAGCGGACCTGTCCGTGGGGTCGCGGGTCCAGTGCATA